TTTAGTAGAGACAGGGTTTCACCGTGTTGACCAGGATGGTCTCGATCTCTTGACCTCGTGATCCACCCGCCTCGGCCTCCCAAAGTGCTGGGATTACAGGCTTGCGCCACCGCGCCCGGCCAATTTTTGTATTTTTAGTAGAGACAGGGCTTCACCATGTTAGTCAGGCTGGTCTTGAACTCCTGATCTTGTGAACTGCCTGCCTTGGCCTCCCAAGTGCTGGGATTACAGGCGTGAGCCACCGCACCCAGCCAATTTATATTTTTTATATGTATATATAAAATTGTGGATAATGGGAAAATCTGGCTGGGCTTGGGAATGGCCTCGGAATTAGGTGGAACATTTTTTCTTTTTTAAGATGGCGTCTCACTCTGTCACCAGGCTGGAGTGCAGTGACATGATCTTGGCTCACTGCAGTCTCTGCCTCTTGGGTTCAAGTGATTCCCCTGCCTCAGCCTCCCAAGTAGCTGAGACTACAGGCACGTGCCACCACACCCGGCTAATTTTTTGTATTTTAGTAGAGATGGGGTTTCACCATGTTGGCCAGGATGATCTTGATCTCTATCTCCTGACCTCGTGATCTGCCCACCGCGGCCTCTCAGAGTGCTGAGATTACATGCATGAGTCACGACGCCTAGCCATGAAACATTTTTATTTGACTTGGACAAAAACAAGCTTGGCCCTGTTCACTGTTCTGTATAGGAGGAATGTTGGCCGTAGAAGAGGAGGTGCTTGGATGGTGTGAAATGAGGGATGTCTGAGATCTAAACGGGGGCAGGTGAGTGGGGTGGAGAATCACAGCAGAAAGACGGAAGTGATGGACTACGTGTAAGTTAGACTGAGGGGCAACACCGCTGCTGAGACTGCAGGGAAAGAGCAAGCCAGACAGAAGAAAGTAGGGAGATGGAGCAGAAGAGAAAGAAGGAGCCAGGGGAAGGGAAGTATCCTTTTAGAGGAACATGGAGAGATAACATTCTTTTCTGAATGAGTTTGATTCTTGAATTGTCTAGAATTCTAATAGGGAGTAAAGCATAGGAGTGATCAAACAGAACCCCGAAAGGTGAGGGGCTTATTTTGAAAAGGTTGGGCATGGTGGCTCATGCCTGTAATCTCAGCACTTTGGGAGGCTGAGATGAGAGGATCACTTGAGGTCAGGAGTTCGAGACCAGCCTGGCCAACATGATGAAACCCTGTCTGTACTAAAAATACAAAAATGAGCTGGGAGTGGTAGGGAACACGTGTAACCCCAGCTACATGGGAGGCTGAGGCACGAGATTTGCTTGAACCCGGGAGGCAGAGGTTGCAGTGAGCTGTACCACTATACTCCATCATGGGTGGCAGAGCAAGACTCTGACTCAATTAAAAAATACATATATGATTCTTTAAATTACCTTTCTGGTGAATGAGTCTGGGGATTCTCTTCAGTGTGTTATTAATAAAACACAGAAGTAGAGAGGCCTTCCTGCTTTTCAAAAGTTTAAACAGCTGCATGTGCAGTGGCTTGTTCCTGTAGTCCTAGCTACTCAGGAGACAGGTGAGAGAACTGCTTGAGCCCAGGAATTCAAGGCTGGCCTGGACAACATAGCAAGACCTTGTTTTTTTTTTGAACCAGAGTCTCACTTTGTTGCCCAGGCTGGAATGCAGTGGTGCGATCTCTGCTCACTGCAACCTCTGCCTCCCAGGTTCAAGCGATTCTCCTGCCTCAGCTTCTGGAGTAGCTTGGATTACAGGCACCCACCACCATGCCTGGCTAATTTTTGTATTTTTAGTAGAGACCGGGTTTCACCGTGTTGGCCGGGCTGGTCTCGAACTCCTGACCTTGTGACCTGCCTGCCTCGGCCTCCCAAAGTGCTTGGATTACAGGTGTGAGCCACTGTGCCCGGCTGAGACCTTGTTTCGTTTCTTAAAAAAAAAAAAGGTTTGAAAATACTTATCTGGGAGCACCTGCACAGTGGGTAGTTAGAAAGGCAGACAGCACACAGTGCACGTAAAAATATTTGACATTCGGAGTGAAGATTTTGTGTCTGTACCAAAAACTTTCTGTGAGGAAGGCCTGACTGGCCAGTAGAGAGAAGAGTGAGGGAAAGCCTCATCTCTGTGCTGAGTTGTGGAAGGAGTGAACAGCGGCCTTTCTCTGAATGGTAACATAGCTCTCAAAAACACGGCCTGGTTCTTTACCCAAATCTCCAGAACCATTCTGTGCGTGGCAACACACATTCAGAGAAACAAAAGGTCTCTTCACTTGTTAAAAGCCATTATAAGGAGAAATAAAGAAAAAAAAAATTAAAAGAGGGTCTCTAAAGGAACTTTTGTATTGCTTACTGTTTCCAATCATACCTTCTGCTGCTGCTGCAATAGAAATTTCTGAGCCAGGTGCGGTGGCTCATGCCTGTAATCTCCGTGACTCAAGAGGCTGAGGTGGGAGGAGTGCTATAGCCCAGGAGTTCAAGATCAGCCATGTCCACACAGGGAGACCCCATCTCTGCAGCAATAACAAAAAAGTTAGCCGGGCCTGGTGGCTCATGCCTATAGTCCCAGCACATTCGGAAGCTGAGGTGTGAGAATTGCTTGCGGCCAGGAAGGAGCTCAACACCAGCCTGGGTAACATAGCAAGACCCTGTCTCTACAAAAATTTTTTGGCAGGGCACAGTGGCTCACACTGGTAATCCCAGCACTTTGGAAGCCTGAGGCGGGTGGATCACAAGGTCAGGAGTTCTAGACCAGCCTGACTAACATGGTAAAACCAGGTTTCTACTAAAAATACAAAAATTAACCGGGTGTGGTGGTGCGTGCCTGTAATCCCAGCTATTCCAGGAGTCTGTGGCAGGAAAATTGCTTGAACCTGGGAAGCAGAAATTGCAGTGAGCCAAGATCGTGCCATTGCACTCCAGCCTGGGCAACAGCGAGACTGTCTCAAAAAAAAAAAAATTTTTTTTTAATTAGCTGGGTGTGTGGCACACACCTGTAGCCCCACCTACCTAGAAGGCTGAGGCAGGAGGATCACCTGAGTCCAGGAGCTTGAGACTGCAGGGAACCATGATTGCACCACTGCACTGCAGCCTGGGCAATAGAGCGAGACCCTGTCTCTAAGAAGACATTTCTTTGATGATGCTCCCGCTCAGCCTTTCTGTCTGTAGTCTCAGTCCAGTAGTCCAGTCTCTGCTTTGAGGGCCCACCAGGATCTAGAGGAGGGGACCTGTTTCAGTCAAGGGTCTGAAGTTTACCTTGAGAACTTACAGCACATTCATTATCTTTTTTTGGGCACTTCCACTCCCATTAGAAAGAAAAAGGTAGGCTCGATGCGGTGGTGGCTTATGCCTTTAATCCCAGCACTTTGGGTAGCCATGGTGGGTGGATTACTTGAGCTCAGGAGTTCGAGACCAATCTGGGCAACATGGTAAAACCCTTTCTCTACAAAAATCCAAAAAAATGAGCTAGGCATGGTATCACAGACCTGTAGTCTCAGCTACTTAGGGGGCTGAGGCAGGAGAATCACTTGAACCTGGGAGGTTGAGGAGGCTGCAGTGAGCTGAGAGCACACCACTGCACTCCAGCCTGGGTGACAAAATGAGACCCTGTCTCAAAAAGATGAGGCTTGGTGCCTCTGGGTATGTAATTGGGCTCTCAGCCCGTCTCTTCTCATTAGCTGATCCGCACTGTTTCCACAGGCCCCACATCAAGACCATCTTCCAAGGCATCGCTGCAAAAGTAGGAACTGGAGAACCCTGCTGTGACTGGGTAAGTTCTGGGCGACTCTTTAAAGCCAGTTGGCAACTTGGGCATGTCTAAGTGATGAATTGTGCAGAGAAAGGCCACTGTGGTCTCCCATTGGTTAGCTTGGTGACATAAACGTCTCAGTCTTTGATCACTAGCATAGCCAACGCCTGGAATGCATGCCTCCTCTTCATATATTTGTATCTTAACTGACCGTTCGTAGCCTTGAGGTTGATATTAAAAGCAGCCTTCTGTAATTCATCTAAAAGATGGATTCCTTAAATAGGAACAGGATGAAGTGAAGTAAGACTTTTTTGAGCCATATTATTTGATGGCCAAAGGAAAGCATGTCAGAATCAAAAGCGGGGTTTGCTTGTCTGGATGAAAGGAAGAGGATCGAATGTCCTGTTGCTGTGTCAAATGTTCTGGCCATGAATGTGGAAAATTCCCGTTCCTGTAGCATGGGATTCAGGCATTCTGTGCTTGAACAAAGCAACCTGCTGACTTGCACCCTCACTGAATGAGAAGGAGGGCTAGGCTAGTTCAGAGCTACTTCCCCAGTTCTATTTTGTGGGTGTTTTTTTTTTTTTTTTTCT